ATTTCTTTGTTTCTTACAGTATTACATAGTGGGTTTGCTGCTTTCTGCTTCATACTCGCTCCTTTCTCATTATGGCCATACAAATCCAGAATATTAGGTTTCTTTTCATCATACTGTAATGGGATTGTAGACAAATTTGTTTTGAACAAGATTTTAAAATCTGATTGATTCATTGCATTTGCATTCAAACAGGTTATCATACCTCGTTGGAGATTAGTAAGAGCATGTTTAATACTACATGTTACTGTCAGTATTGTTGGTGTTGTGTTCATAATCTAAGTTACTAGTTACTTCTCTCTGCATTATATTCAGCATTATAATTGATGTGCTTTCTTTTGGGAATTTTTCTTAATCAATTCCTTTGCTAGAAAACAGGGGGTACAACCTTGTGCATTTTATTTGCAAAATGGGCATTGCAAGTTTGGCTCCACATGCAAATTTGACCATCCTTTGGGGCCTATGAGATACGGTCAATCAACGTCTTCCCTGATTGATATACCAGTTACTCCCTACCCAGTTGGGTCTTTGCTGTCTACCCTGGCTCCTTCATTAACATCCTCAGAGCTTCTGCCTGAATTGATGTCAGGGTTCAAAAAGGAATCCTTTTCAACCAGAATGCCTTCTTCTGGAATAGTTCCATTACTTCTGTCAGTTTAATTTTTTCACAAGATGGATCTGTATCACTATCTGATGTGCAACTCTCAAGTCAGAGTTCTTCCCCCCTAAGCTGTAGGCGAAGCACCAGACAACGTGGTGAGATACGTTGATTAAGGATAGTTAATTAAAAAATGACTATCATTGGATGTGATTTAAGAAGCCTCCATTGCTTCTGTTTATAGTCCCAATGAAATATTTAGTGGCAACTGCTTCAAGTTTCTTCCTCACTGTTTATAAATCACCATCCAATCTAGTTTAACCTACACTAGGTCATTCTCTTTATGTCATCTCATCTGATTATATATTGAATAAGCTTCAATAGAAAACTTTATATCAATATATGGTCTTTCCTTCCTCCGTTTCGAATATTATTTTCTTGATTTATGTCAAGTCTGCCGGATTGTGAGTCATCCTAGTTCTAAATCCATTTGCAATTCAGCTATACTTCTAACAGATTTAAGCAAATAATTTTCTTTAAAAAATTTTATAATCTCAGAACTTCATTTTTTTAGTAATGCTCTTTTGCGTGAAAATTTATTTGTGAGTTGTACACAAAGGTTCTCATAGGTGCGAACTAGGTTATACTCGTGTGGAAAAAGTTTCATATTATATAGCATAACCTTATTTTTTTAAAAAAATAAATAAAAATGTTACAGTCAACTGATTATACTCTTCCATAATCAAGAGACGTAATGTTCAATTCTTCTTCTAATATAAAAATTCTGAAAACGACCGTATTTGTTTTCTTACAAATAGCCACAATTAAGTTAGGCTTAATATTTTTAGTTTTGCTACATAAATTTATTTTCTACAAAATGAGTAGATTTTATAAACTTTTTCTCTCTTTTCTTTTCCCAATCTTAGTGACATGTCTCATGTGCATGTTCTTTATCAGCATAGTTATATAATTGTTACATAATTGTGGAATACAAGGTTAGCTGCATATCCACTAGTCTGTCACGTATTTGACTCATATTGGCGATGCAATGTGGAATTATAGTCTGTGACCCCATTCCCCAAAATTTTTAAAAGGGTGGGGTCAAATGTTTACTGCAAATCATGATGACTTGTCACCTCCTTTCCCCACCTGCACTAATGATATGTAGCATCTTTCATCCCAATATGTGAAAGAAGATTTAATAAAATAAAAAAACTATTTTTTAGCTGTGGCTGTCCCATTTGTTCGCTCCCAATTTTATGGCTGCCGTAGACAATAATGTTTTTCAAGTTTTTATGTTCCAAAAGCGAAGATAGATGATTCAACCATACAAAAACTAAAGTTCATAGTACTTGGATTTAAATTGATAATGGTGAATGGGATTTGATTGAAGTTAGCCTGCATCCTGTGTAAATAAAACACCTTAATATATTACAACTTTGAGCTAAACCAATTATATCTTTTTAAATGAAGCAAAGCCCATAATTGATTATTTACACATCCATTTCATAATAGAGTTCGCTTTTTGTCATGTGACATGATTAGAGTATTTTTTTGCATACACAAATCAAGTGTGAGTTCTACGCTTAAAAAAAAAAAGTCAGACCAAAATCAGGATACGACGCCGTATCCTTAAGATACGGAAGCGGATCCTTGCTGCAAGAATGAACAGTGACATTCCTGCAACATGATTCTTATATTTCCCTTCATAATATGTACCTAGACTTTAAGAGAGCATGTTTTACTAATTTGAAATAGGGTTTATTTTTTTTAAAGTTACTTTAAATAATTTTATCTAATGTTCATCGAAATGACGTCGTTTTGGAATAGAAATCATGGTATTTTTGTAATTTTAATTTATTTCAGAGTTATAATAGTCTTTATCATTCTAATTTTTTTATTTTTCAACTCCAAAACGACGTCGTTTCAATGAACATTAGACAAAGTTATCTAAAGTAACATTAGATACTTTTTTTTTTCCTTTGAAATATGTAGTTACTTTAATTTAATTAATTTTAAATAATTTATTTAGAGTATTTAATTAATGAACAAAAAGGAAGAAGAATATTTTAAATAAAATATAATTGAACAGGATAACAAATATTCTCAACTTTAGCATTTAATGTCGTAAAATTAGTCTTTCACTTTATATAATAGAGGGGATATTTTAAGAAATAAAAAAACTCTCAACTTTATTAGTATACGCTTTATGATAGAGCCATTAGTTTTCAATTTTCATGAACTTCAGAATAAAGTACTTTTTAAGTATTAAAAAAGGGAAAAAAGAATAGTGTCCTTGATATGAATGATTTTATTATTAATGAAATGCAAGACAAAATTGGCACGAAATAATGCATATGTGATTCCTATGTCTCCAGACTCGTTACAAGAATCTGCATTGCCTGTGTCTTGTCCTGCTCCTGCTAATCAAATATAGATAAATCATCAAATTTATATCCTATCAAACAAAAAAACCCTTCAGTAGAGAAAAAAAAAAAAAAAAAAAAATATATATATATATATATATATATATATATAAAAGAAATTCTTTTTTTTTTCCCTTCTCACATAAGAAGAAAGAAAAAAAAAAGTAGGGGCTAAGTAGATAACAAGGGAGCAGCATTGACATGAAAGAGGAAAGGAACAGGAATTATAATCATTTAAGTCTCCTTTACCATGCTTACCCAAAAAAAAAAAAAGTATCTTTTACCATTTAGGTGTAAAGCTGGTTGCAGTTCTCCGCAGTTTGACAGGAACAAAATACAGAATTACATAGGAGTAGGACCACCTGCAAACTGTTCATATTTCTTGGAAGGAGGATGGGTTGTTGTTGTTGGCTGTAAAGCCTGTGTACTATTGGAATATTGGTTCAAATAATTCGACACATTCTAGAAACAAAGTTAACCAATGGAATACAATAAAGAGAAATTATTTAATGATGCTTGAACATAATTGATGCCTGTTTTATAAAAAATTAATATTAATATTAAGTTGGTTCTTAATTTATGTATGTTTATTTATAATTAATTATGCATATCTTTCTTGAAACATGTATATGTAATAACTTCTAATATGCACAGGAAATAAAATAAAGTAAGGAAAAAAAAAATCTTAAATTATGGTGATTACCTACCGGACTATTACTGGAAAATATCTATGGTACTACTGTTATACTATTTACTCAGTGCATCTATCCAATAAAAAATTAAAAATGACTGTTATGTTTTATGAAAAGAAGAGAAAAATATTTTTTGTATCCAAATGTCTACAGATGTACAGAAAATGCTCTCTGCTGAGGCATTCAACGAATGAAATTAATGGTCTCATCATGATGGCTACCAGATCGACGCAGACGCAGTCAATGATCATGATTCTTCCAACAGTTGTCACATTGAGTAACTGTGATAACCACTTTAGTGCCTATATCATGAGCTGATATTTATTAAACGGAAAAAGTATTTTTACCACATTCATATAAATATAAGTGAATTCTATTATAATGAGAAAAAAAAAAATAATGGGATATGACGAGACCCATTAGAGAGAAAATTTTCTTAGCACAAAGTAAGTAAATTTTTTACATTGTTCATACTTCAAATTCAAAAAATTTGCCCAATTGTATTAAAAATATATATGTAATTTTTTTTTTTTTTGGAGAATTGGTTCATCAAATAAAAAGAGATTTTGTGCGTGGTTTCAAAACATATGAGCTACTTGCTCCTAAATCTAGGCCTTAAGAAATTGACTTTTAATTAATGGGATTGGAAGCTTGTATTAGAGATTGAAACATGCTAATTTTTCAGCATTTAAATTTATAAATGTATTTGAGTTGATCTAGTTTACTACCATGGTTGTCATTATAACATGCAATCCAACTCATCCTTTTAATTCCAACTTTAGCTAGCTTTACACATAATATATGTAGTTATTTTATGCTATAGTCTTTATGTGGGTAGCTTTAGCTAGCCATTATTACAATTAACAAAAGCACTACTGCTACTCCTGCAGTTTCATAAAACAAATACCATGTAAAGAAAAAGCAAAGTCCACTTATTCACCACCTTTCACCGAAAAGTGTAAGCACACCTGCATTTGCCTTGATTATGAGATTAAGTTCATATTATAAAGTATGTTTCAAAGTCATCTCCATCCTTTAAGCCTGCATGGATGGGTTCATGTGACTTTCACTTCACTTCAACTTTCCACTGACAGTGAAGGAAGAGGCTGAAGAAGTGGTCCTCAACACAGAATCTGTCAGAAGAAGAAAGAGAAACATATAGTTTTGTTTAACTGACATGAAATTGTTAACATATATATATATTCACATCACTGGCAGTGTGAGAATTCCTTAGTGGGGGTTGGTGCTTCAGAATTATCTCAATTTGAGACGTTTGGTGGAGAGATCATGGGAGTTGTAACTGTTGGTGAATTGAAGCCAAGCATTTCAGGGAAAAGGACCTTTCGTCCAAGTTCAAGCATAAGACACGCCACTGAATGGTAACCTTCTAGTTCTTAACATGTTTTGCTGCATTTAGTGTTGATTGCAATCACATGTTGCATTTAAATTAATTAACGAGTGTGGATTTTTTTTTCCTTGTCTGATGTAAAATGAAAAAAATGCAAAAAGGATTCAATGAAAATGAATACAATTCAAGAGATTGATCTAATGGACTAATGGTTTATATATATTCCATTTTATTAAAAAAATTTCTTGTACAGTTATTTTCAGAGACTTATTAAGTGTTTTTTATCTTATTACATTTGACCACATATTCGGAATCTAGTGCTCCATGGTAATCTTTCAGCCATTTATTTTCTTTCCATCTTGTGAATGATAAGTAATGTTTGTCTGTCAATTATTCTAGTGCTTTTTTAGAGGGCGGAGAAGATGTAATAGGAGCTCACCGACTATGGGAAAGAGACAGTAAAGCCTGTCCAATTAATGTTTGTTTCTCAATTAATGTTCAATTCTCATGTAACCATGTTATTTGCTGTACAGCTTATTTAGACTCTCACCCAAATTCTGAATTTATTGTGATGGGGTCATTCTCATCTAAGAAGATTAAATTGTCTTTTGGTTTGTGATGTACAAAACACATTAATTGAGCTTCATTTGGTACATTAAATTTAAAATACATGCAACTAGAGGCTCTTTCACGGTCTCTGATAATTTCATTTTGGTAATATGTGTACCTGCAGTTTTTGATTCATATTGAAATATTCATGTCTCTGTCATATAATGATTCAGCTAGATTTTTTTTTTGCAGGCCAATATCTGATGTCTCTAGTGATCTTGTCATCGAAGTAGGAGCATCAACCTTTGCACTTCACAAGGTAAAGGAAACAAGCTGCTATTCTGATTGGGCAAACATTCAGCATGGTTGGTTTTCTTTAAGCGTTTTGCAATTTTTTTTCCCACAGTTTCCTCTCGTTTCTCGGAGTGGAAGAATTCGGAAGCTGCTTTCAGAAGCAAAGGATTCAAAAGCTTCACGCATTAGTCTCCAAAGTGTGCCGGGTGGTGTGGAAGCTTTTGAGCTAGCTGCCAAATTCTGCTATGGAATTCATGTTGAGTTTACCCTCTCAAATGTTGCTATGCTACATTGCACAGCTCATTTTCTAGAAATGACAGAAGAATTTGCAGAAAAAAACTTGGAGACCAGAGCTGAAGCATATCTAAAGGATACAGTGCTCCCTAATATATCAAGCACGATATTTGTTCTTCACTGTTGTGAGACTCTTCTCCCCATGTCAGAAGAAATGAACCTTGTTAGCAGGCTAATCAATGCAATTGCAAATAACGCTTGCAAAGAGCAACTTACCTCTGGCTTGCTAAAACTTGACCACACTTTCCCTTCTAAAACCATATCAATCATGGAACCAGAAACACCCTCAGATTGGTGGGGAAAGTCTTTCAATGTTCTTAATCTTGATTTCTTCCAAAGAGTTATATCTGTTATGAAGTCAAAGGGACTAAGACAAGATATGATCAGCAAAATTCTGATAAACTATGCACATAATTGTCTTCAGGGAGTTGCTGTTAGGGACCCCCAAATGGTCAAAGGAAGTTTACTTGACATAGAATTGCAGAAGAAACAAAGGGTCATTGTTGAAACCATAGTTGGTTTACTCCCAACTCAATCAAAAAAAAGTCCGGTTCCAATTGCTTTTCTCTCATGTTTACTAAAAGCAGCAATAGCAGCATCAGCATCAATTCCTTGTAGATCTGATTTGGAGAGACGAATTGGTCTACAGCTTGACCAGGCAATTCTTGAAGACATCCTTTTTCCAACAAATTCACCTAAAAACTCCCATAGCACAATGTATGATACAGATTCAATCTTGAGGATCTTTTCTATTTTTCTGAACTTGAATGATGAGGATGATGATGAAGATGGTCACTTCAGAGATGAAAGCCAAATGGTATATGACTTCGACAGTCCTGAATCTCCAAAACAAAGCTCAATTCTAAAGGTATCCAAATTACTAGACAATTATCTAGCTGAAGTAGCACTGGACTCAAACTTGTTGCCATCAAAATTCATAGCACTTGCAGAACTACTTCCAGATCATGCACGTATTGTAAGTGATGGACTCTATAGAGCTGTTGATATCTTCCTTAAGGTGAGAAATCACAATTCCATGCAAGTAAACTATCTTCCTTGTTGCTAGTTTCAGTTACCAATCTTGTAAAGAACCAATTCAACAACAAAAAAAAAAACTTTAAGCTATTAAATGAAGGTGATATTTATAGTTTTATATTATATTTCTCTAATAAATCTGTAACTGTTGTTTCCTTTCTTTATTATATAGGTTCATCCAAATATGAAGGACTCAGAGCGTTACCGTCTCTGCAAAACCATTGATTGTCAGAAACTGTGTGAAGAAGCATGCAGCCATGCAGCACAAAATGAAAGGCTACCAGTGCAGATGGCAGTGCAAGTTCTTTACTTGGAGCAAATAAGGCTTCGCAATGCCATGAACGGAGGACACAATCAATTCTTCTTTGGAGGGGTTCAGGGTCAATTCCCTCAACGTTCAGGAAGTGGTGCAGCAAGTGGAGCAATTTCCCCAAGAGATAACTATGCATCCGTAAGAAGAGAGAACCGAGAGCTGAAGCTTGAAGTTGCAAGAATGAGAATGAGGCTCAATGATTTGGAGAAAGACCATGTTTCTATGAAGCAGCAGCTTGTGAAGTCCCACACTGGCAATAAGCTCTTCAAATCATTCACCAAAAAACTAAGCAAGCTCAATGCTCTATTCCGGATAAACACTATTATAAAGCCAATTGGTGGCAAAACTGCTTCAGAAAATCGGTTCCCTTTTCCAAAGCGAAGACGCCACTCAGTTTCATAACTATATTAAAATTTGTAATATAAAGCCACAATATATGTATAGTATGCATAAGCATAATGCATGGCGTGATTGTGTCTATTTTCCAGTCAACAATTTTATGTCCAATTAAACTGGTATCAATGTATCATCATCTGAATTAGTAGATAGTCCTAAAAATTTTCGCTGCAAATTAGCACCCCTGAAGAATTTGTTATCACTTGAGTAAGGCCTTTTAAGATAATTTTTAAGATACAACTCATTAAGAGATACCTAAGGAATGAGAAAAAAAAAAAACAAGAGGGAAAGTATTATAAAAGAAACAATGCAGAAAGACCATTTTATAATGTGATATAATGACTAGAAACTTGTACTAATTATTTTCCTCTCCGTTTTTATGTGTGATAATGTTATCTTCACCACAGAATATTTAGGTATATATCACTTCGTATGTAACAAATAATTTTAATTACATCAAATTATCTATAAGTTTAATATCTCTCATGTTATACGAGATAATTTTATTTCCTACACGCACATAAAAGTGTATGGACCCATATTTTTTTTCTCCATTTTCTCTTTCACACAACTCTATATAGGTCCTACACATTTTTTGTGTATATATGAAATAATTTTATCATATAAGAAATATAAAACCCATTATTTATTTGCCATTGAACAGACTTAGAGCAGAGGCCCGTATATCCTTATATAATGGGCCAGTCTGTCAGACGAGCCCAGTCCATGTTCAGCCCATAATTGAATCACTTTGTGTGTCCGTCCTCCATGCCCAAAGATACATACGACGTCGTATCGACCTTAACAAAGTGTTTGGATTTGGATTCTACGTGTGTGGCAGTGTAACCAGTGTTGAGGGTGAAGGATGGTGTCTTTTGCAGGGTTACGAAGTTCGTTACCCTTTTCTGGGCTAATCAGGTAACCCATGGCGCTCTCCATTATTATAATGTATCATTTCTTGTTTTATTTCTTTGCTTATTGCTTTTTCTTTTTCTTTTCTTCCGCTGAAAAGTATGTTAGGGTTTTCTTCTGTTTTAAGCATTTTGAAATTGAAATTGAAATGTAGGTTTTTTGAACATATGTTGCAATAATCAAACAAGTTTAACACACCACCCACCCCCCCAATCATAATTCATGATACATGTTTGGGTTCATCACATGCCCTGATTCAAATCAATGTTGTAGACTTTCCTTGTATTTCCAGTGGCTCTAGAAAAGCAAATATAAAGTTAGCGTAAATAACCATTTTAACTCAAAAGTTTAAGTTGTTTAGTTGAACATTGCTTTAATGGTTTTGTAGTATATTTCTCTTGCACATCCCATTGCACAAGAGCTCATTGGACAATGCTAACTGAGAGAAGAAATTTCATAATATTTAATTATTTAGGGATAGAATGAGAAGCGACCATGATTGAATTCGTGATTTAATGGTTTTTTATTATATTTCTCTAACAATTAGGTAATAGTAGTGGAATGCAAAGCAATTTGTTAAAATTGGGCAGTCTTTTCTTCTTCTTCTTTTTTTAAAAAAAAATTTTTATGCAAGATTTCTTTCTGTTTCTGACAGACAGCTTGAGCTAGAGATGGAAACTGTGGTGAAGGTATTGCAGCCTGGACCCTTGGGAATCATAGAGCATAAGTTTTCTGCTGAGGAGATTCATAAGGCTAATGCTACGGTCTCTAAAGCAGTGGCCAATTGGAGAACAAATGCAATTTTGGAGGACAAAAATCATATTTTAAAAGACTATATTCACAAGTGAAGGAATTCCTGTTGTGCCCATATTAGCAGCTCTTGTAAGTTAGATAGAACAACTTTGACAAAATCTCTGAGGAAACTTTTATTTTGAAATCTTCCAAATTTTAGTGCTGCCTTCCAATTTTAAATTGAAGGTGCAAATTACTTTCGTTACTCATTTGTGATGAGATGCTGTGCCTATTTGTTCAGACTTGTTGAGATGGAACATATTGTAAATGCTGGTAACTTGATGATAATTTGCATGACATGAGTTAATAATATCTGAACTTTGGTAAACTTGTCATTGATTATGTTTACTCTAATCACCATATGGAGGGACTTTTTTTTTTTTTTTTTGTTGTTGTTGTTGTCCAGGCTGGTACACATTGCTATTGATTCTAATTCAACCGTGTAGGCGACGAGAATCATTAATCTTGCTTTTGTATGCTCTGTGCTCCTGTAGGGTGTCAGCATTAATAAGAAACGATGTAAAACAAACACGTCAAAAGTGCACTTAAAATCGCCAGTAGAAAACCGAAATAACTAGTTATAGGGGACATAAAGAAGCTGAATGAAATATGTTCTTTTTATACATATATTTATAAAGCACTTCCCTAAGTTTCTTAAGTTTCTGTTTTTGATACAAAAATATAGTAAGATAAGAAAAAATACCACTTGAAAAATACAATTGAAAATTTTGGATTCATAAATCAATTATTAAGGAAAGAGGAAAGAAATTCTCGAGTACTTGATCTCTAAATCTCTATTTGACAGGGTTTCTTCTTATACCTATGAATTCCATTGGACCTGTAAATGATAATGATACATTGGAAGCCCGTTTGGTAGCATGATTTTTTTTGTTTTTCCGTGATTCCTTGGTTGGGTAAATAAGAATGCATTGTTTGATATAGAATTTTTAAAATTTTTCTGAAAATCTGATTTTTCCGGAATTTTCTTTTGTGTGTAATTTTTTTTTTAAAAACCATCTATGAATACTATCCAGAAGGTGATATTTTAATATTTCTATGGCAAGAAAAAATTTAATACAACTAAACACAGCATCAACCAAATTAACCCAATATTCTGGGGCATATGTGAGTCTACCAAACAATTTTTTGGTAACATTCTTAGAAAACTCATTTTCCCATCATTTTCCTGAAAATCATGATTCCCGGATAAAAAAAATTCCTCCCGTACCAAACGCTCCCTAAAGTGTTTTAAGAGGCCTAACTTATGTGGAAAATCTGATCATTAGATATAAAATTTAACCGTGTTTAAAATTTATCTCAAATAGATATATACACAGATAATTTAAAATGAAATATTACTATTGAAAACCCAAGTGATGTGAAAGATTCACAAAACAAATTGTATTAGTTGAATTTACTGAATTGTACAAGGTTATAGAAAAGCTTTTAAAGTTAATTTAAATGAAGGGATAAAAAAAAAATAGAGACTTTAAATTTTCAGGACTAAACTGATAAATGATATATTTTCCAAGGAACAAATTCCTCTAAATATAAGCTATAAAGGCACTCTTTCAAGCATAAGAACAATAATTTTTTCACGTTCCATTATTGTTGGCATATACCATCCCCTGCTAAACAAAAATGAAAAGGACCTTGGCATATGCGTTTTAGAGCTAAGACAGAAAAATAGTGCGAGGTCAGTTCTTGGCATCACAGTGGGGACTATGGATTCCTCGACAACTGTTTCTGCTTGAAAATTGATGTGTATATTTTATTTTTTACTTTTCATTCCCTCTAACTCTGTCTCTCATATCTTAGGATATCCCACGTACAAAGCTGGAACATGTATGCGAAAGTTGTGCTATATTGGCTCCTCTACCGACAACAAAATCGGAGTATTGAGGTGCATGAGGGGCATCTTTCTGTAGAAACTGGTGTTTAACTTCTTTGCTACACCACTTGGGTTACTTGAATTTTTTTATGCATTGCATAAAAAACAGTTGACATATTACTCTCACAAAATTGTATTTGTTTTTAGTGACTTTTAGTAAAAAAGCATTCAGATTTAATAACTCTTGGTGAAGAACTTTCTAATTAAAAATATAAAGCATCCACAAAAATAACATTTTAGTAATAGTAGGTTAGTTGACTAATAAAAACACATGCATTTAATATGTTGGATAGAGGTAATCGATTTAAGATGTGGTATATGATTTCAGTGTGCAGAAAAAATGAGTGTTTCACGTAACTCAGATAATTTTACAGTACTATAAACACATACTTATACATACGTTCTTTGAACAGTGAAATCTAAACACTGTAAAATGTTACAAACCAGTCGTACTAATCATAGTATTTTTGTTTGTTAATCTCTTATGTGAATCGAGTGATGTTGTCCATGTTTGAGTTCAGTTACTTGAGTAGTTTTATTTGCATATTATTGATTAATACATCTCTTTCATATTGCACAAACAGCATCACTGAATTTAATAGAATTCATCTAAAAATTTTTGTTAATTAATCTCACTTATATATATGGCTGTCCACAGAACTTAAAATCTGATTATTTCTCTTTAAATAGGCGAGCATTACATGACATGGCCAAGTATGGTTAAAGTTTTATTTGCATTATACAAAAGAAAGAGTACAGTTCTGCTCCACACAAAAAAAGAAGACAAAAAGAGTGGAGAATACAAGTATGGCTAGAAAAAGCTCTTTACTAAACCGCCTCATGGTTCTCTAGCTTTGAGAAGATTAGAACCCCTTATTGATCATTGTGTGATGAGTTTTCATAGCTACTTGCTCCAGATAAATATAGCTTTTGCATTTAAAAGCAATTGGGCAAGCTTGTTTTGAACGTTGAGCTTTATGAGTTCATCAGTACCACCTATAAATTGTTGTCCTATGAACACTGCAGGTACGCTTGGGCGGCAACCAAGTTGGACCAGTGCCCTCTCTACTTGCAACCCATTTGGCAATTTGTCAACCTCAATGACTGAAGGGTAGTAACCAAAGCTGCGTATGAGAGCTGTTGCAGTATGGCTCATGCAACAAGTGCTCTTGCTGAAGATCACCACTGGCTTGTCAGCAGTCAAATTTGCCAACACATCCATTGCTATAATATATATAATTGGGTTACTAGAGAAAGAGTTGGGGGGGTAACTATATGGTTTAAGTGAAAGTATAGAATTTGATTTGATTTACTATGTGAAACTTGAGACAAGAGGAGGTCTATTTATACCAGTTGCAGATGGTTTATTCTGGTAGATGAGATTGGATAGTTTCACACACATAGAAGAATAAACATCTAAAAAAGAATAAATGTTAAAGTTATGTTATCAATGGATTCCCAAAACTGGCATGGCTCGTAACATGAGTCCATTATGACTCTTCCAATTAACTCCTTTTGGAAGGTTAAAAAAGAAGCTATTCAGCAAATTTAATGGATTCCCAAATTGCTCTTTCCAGAGCCAATCATGGTTGAGTGAGTGAATGTATCCAACCCAAGTTCTTGGCTATGTTAGGCATAGTCATTTGCAAGTACCTTAAGAATACTAGTACATTCAATTGCAATGAGCATTAGGAAAATTATTCCAAGAGTATGCTAAATCATCTCAAACTTTTTTCTTAGATGGAATTTAAGTAATCAATCATCTCAAACTTTTTTCTTAGACATGGAATTTAGTAATCAGGTAGAGTTATATTTACAAATTTTTATAAACTACACTATGTACTTCGGCGAATACAAATACTTAAGTGTGTAGTGTATTTTCCGGAGTACATTGTATAATTTGTAAACAAAATTTTTGTAAATATAAACTATTCCGTAATAACATATTAAAACATTAGCATTAAGTGTTTCACGGCGAATCTGGTCAGTAAGAGGAGGTGGGTTCATCAACCAATGGGTAGCAAGTAACAACTTTTCATGTCTTAACAAGATTCGCACCAAATTCAAATACCAAATACTGAGTAGAAAGGTGAGAGAAAGAGAGATTTTTTATCTGGAAGGGTGGGGGGGCAGATGCTGATTTAAAGGTAAAATCTGCATAATAATAGCATTTTGCTTTAAATGTTTTCTATAAGATGGATGGCTCTTGATATAATGAAAATATACATAATGGCCGTACATGAAATGGAGAAAAGAAAACGCTACCATTTGGGTTTCCACCGAATTTTCCGTTGTTTGCACTTTGCACTTTGTAGTTTGTACTAAAGATACCCACAAGAAATTATCCTTTGTACTATTACAAGATGTTCCGAACTTTGTACTATTACATAGTACATTACATACACAGAGAAATTATCCTCCATCTGTGCAGTAAAACAAAGTTCACTCTTTACGGAGAAAAATTGTAATTTATTTTATTCTAGAAGACACGTGCATTCATCGTTTGTTTCCTATTAAATTATTATTTACTTTTATCTTCTTCTTTTTTATGTTAAAGTTTCATTTAAAAAAAAAAATATATCAACTGCTTATAATTTTTATTTTTATATTTTTTAAATCTTAATTTTTAATATTCTTAATTTCTTTACAGTAAAATTTTCTCTGTTTTTTTGTTTTGTTTTGGAATTCAGCTACTTTATTTTTATATACTAAATTAGAATACATTACATTGACATTGATTTAAACTTTTATTTTTTTATTTTTAAAATAAGATATGTCATTCTTAATTTTTTAAATATTAAATTTATTTATTTTAACTAATTATGCATATCATCTTTATAATTTTAAAAAATAATTTATTTTTAAATTTTACCAAAATTGATTACAGATACTTTTTATAATTTTAATTTTTTAAGCATTTTTTTCTAACAAAGCATATTTTTTAATTTACATGTTTTGAATTTTATTTCAATTTAAATAATTATGTAATGGAAAAAATAGTTATAATTTTTTTTATACTCCTAGTGGCTTATTTATTAGTTTTCTTTAACGAGTATTTTGTAACAAAATACTCTAGTGAAAGTAAATCTAGTCATAAATATTAATATTTATATAATAATCTTCTTACTATAAGTTATTAAATAATAATTTGCATTTTGTTTGTTGTCACAATTTATAAAAAGTAACTAATACATATTTAAATTACTTATAATACAAAATTATTAATGGTTGCCAAAATAAAAATGGTAACAAATATAAGGGGAATATTTTCTCATATTGCATGAGGCAAAATTGTCTCATGCAACACACACAAGGTGAAACTCACTTTTTTCTTTTTTTTTTTTTTTCTTTTGTGGGTCTTATCTACTTTTTTGTACGTGCATGAGAAAAATTATCTTACGTAACATAAGAGATATATTTTCTACCCAATGGGTGCAGCTCAGTTGGTAACTTGGCGCTGAGTTAGTGAAGTTGGATATGTGTTCGATTCCCGCTGAATGCATTCTTGGGGAGGGGGCTGAACCTTTAGCCATTACTGTTCCTCCGCACTCCGGATTAGTCCCATAGCCGGCTCAAAGAGTCGAAGCTCGTAGGGATACCGGAGGGAGCCAACTCGTCTCAAAGAGATAATTAGGGTTGGGTAACTCCAAAAAAAAAAGATATATTTTCTCAAATACAATAGACAAAAGTATTTTTGAAAGGAGCTTAAATAACTTTATCTCTGACTCGCCCTACACTCCAGATTAATTAGTCTTATAATCGACTCAACCAAAATTTGTGGGAATACGAGGTGCAACTCGCTAGATAAAAAGGGTTGGATAATTCAAAAAAAGAAAAAAGAAAAAGAAATTATCTCAGATAATTGTGATATAAGGATAAGGATCCATAATTGTTTATGGGCATCTTTTGTTGACCCATGTTATAAGAAACATATCAAAGTGTTCTTTTTTTGTCTTACACAAAAGTATAATAAAGAAAAGGTAAAAATCTATTTTACAGGTCACTCTGTTCTAAACAGTGAGATCGGTACATCAGAAACGTGACAAAAACATAACTAGCAAAGTTTGAGCAGCATTTCTATATGCCGTTTTGCATGCCTATAGAGCTTATGCTTTTTGGTGATTTTCCCCTTGATTATCGTTAAAAATGTCATCAGATATTAATAACATTATTACCTGATTTAAATCGACTATGGTCATGTACACCATGTCAGCAAATGTTGTCATTATTTCAGCAGAAATGTGAATGTAAATATGAAAAAAAAAAAAAAAAAAGTGATTCCTTTGTTATATTTGGTTACATAAAAAACAAAAGGTCTAATAGTTCAATATCATCTAGATTTAGCTTTACAACAAGGATCTTACTTTTCCTAAGGCATTATCAATACCAGATAACATTAAAAATTACATATTCATATTTAGACATTATTCGTAATCTCTTGGCAACAGAATTTTCCACATGTATGCAGCTTGTAAAAACAACTCTTGGCTTCATGTTCCAAATTCTGTAGCGTCAACTATGTTCCTTCAAGTTGAATAAACGGCTCAAATGTTAACCAAAGGGTCACTTGACTCCTAGTATTTATCTGCATCTACTGTATAAACCGACTGAAAAGTGCACAAGCATCGAATCAGAAGATTTATCATTTCTTTTATTTTCTTTTCTCTTGAATAACATTTTAGACTATGCTTTGCAGTGGAGTTAGTGTTTGGTTGGAAAAACAAAAATGATGTTTTCATAAACTCTGGTTGATACGAGTTTAGAAGTGTAACTGCAATATATTATATATGATGAATAGTGCAACCAGAATCAACTAAGGCCAGTCTGCGTGAAATATCAGCAGCATAAAAAATGTATCAAAAGCAATAAAGCGCCAAGTTTTCATTGTTTAATTTATTTATGTTTTTTCAAAAGACGTTAAATGATGTTATGCATTCAATAGAAGAAGAGAAATAGGGAACACTACAAAATTATATTATCTTGACAGCATCATGACTACAAGACCATCTGAAAATACTGATAAATTTTTGTTGTGACATAAGTCCACTTATTTCTAATTATAGTGAGGTTACTATAAGAGTAAAGAAAATTTACTCATGAAATAAAACTATATGTTTTTGGATGTAGAAATTAGTTTTTGTCTCAAACCCATATTGCCCCAGCATTCATTAGCAGTGGTACTAATTCATTCCGGACATGCAGGCTCATGATTCTTTTAGAACCCCCTATGAGATTTTGCCCTATAAACACAGCTGGTACACTTGGTTGGCACCCCATTTGAATCAATGCACTTTCAATCTGTCCCCCATTTGTTATTTCATCAAGCTCATACACTGTGGGGTTTGCCCCAAAGTTACGTATCAGTGATGTTATGGAGTGGCTCAAGCAACATGTGTTCTTGCTGAATATCACCACAGGCTTTTGAGCTACCATGCTTGTGATCATGTCCATGGTTTACCTACAAGTTGAACACTCAAAATAGATGAAATGCAATGTAATAGAGTTTATGAAGAGGCTATGTGGAAACTGAGCTTTGTTCAAGGGTTATTTATAAGCTGGTTCAATGTGGTGGGGATTGTATTGTTGCTACAAATGTCATTATAAAAGAATAAGATCGTACATGAGAATTCCGGAATTTCTGTCCTTTTGCACTGAACTGCACGTGTTCTAGATAACAAGTTGGCTATCAATCTAATGAATCCAAAACTTTCTTCAAGAATAAGATTCATGGTCGTGCACGAGGCATATTTTTATTTTTATTTTCTCCAAATCCATCTATTTATGCCACACCTTATCCCTATGATACAGTATTTAAGATCAAAACTGAATCAATAAATGACAATTTTGCTAATTATGGATTTTTATTCGTTTCTTGTAATCTATCTATTTTGGAGCATCTGCTAAGGTTGAGAAACAAGTGGACTTGAAACATTCAGCAACTTTCTTTTCATCATAAGATTCGCAGCCCTTTTCAATTCAGAAAACTGGAAAGCTGAGAGAAGCAATAAAGAAAACAATGAAATTGTTAAAAGCAAAGATGTAGAACCCTCATTAACAAGAAAATTAATGCCCTAGTACCTTACATGATGGCCGGGCAGGAAGATGTTTATACCTGCCATATAACCTTAGTAGGCTAACACATACACTCTCCTTACTCTAGAAATCACTCATCCTTAGTAGTTATATCCCCTTCAAATAACAGAAGTAACAAACTATGCAGCAGGTCTACATGTTTTCAACTCCATATAGTAAAGACTATTTTTCTGTCATGTCTTTGATTACACTGACAATTTTGGGTATGAAACAAACAATGCAGCTGTGTAATAAACATATTTAAAAATGTTTAGGTCATGACAAACCTGCATTAGCAGTATTACATTAAAAATTATCATCTTAAGGGACTGACTTGTTATCTTGGTTTTTAAAGTCTGTCTTAAAGGTTTATTTGATCCAAGTAAAAATGGGTGGAATAAACACAGACCACGAATACTTGACTACTTAAATAGAAATGAAGGCAAACATCATGCCAAAGCTATATCATTAAATTGTTCTGTTGTTCCATTTAATTATGAAACCAGAAAGCCTCGCCATGATGCATGATTTTCTCCATATGTTTCTAAATATGTATTTTCTTAAGCAGTGATCATAAATCAAGGAATTTTTGTTTTAATTTTTTATTTCCACAACTTAAACCTAACACCTATATTCCAATACTTACTCGACACCTCAACCATAAGTTGTAACTCTAGATCAGTAATGATTTGATAAGACGAATATATGGATAAAGTGGTTAAGAAAGAGCCAAACATAGGGAATAAGAATATATAATAGTTGTGGATGACTAGGACAAATACAAAGAAAACGAAGACGGTTTTCAGCATACAGGCATGGATTACAGATTAAGGGACCTAGATATTATTATCTTTCTCTGATTCCGACCACGATGTATATGTTTCAACTTTAACCCTTTCCCAGATGCAAAGCAGAGCTTATATATATTCCTCTGATTAAATGTTTGAACATATGAAAAATGTTCACTCTATGCGGCAATCTAAAATTATGATCAGTAAAATCAGTTCCCTTAATCACAACGGTACAATGTGCATGTCAATTCACAGGATTCTTTGGTATCTGAGTTCTGTTTGTTTTCTTTCATTATTTTCATATGGTAAACTTCAGGCTAGATAATACCCAGTGACTCAGCATATGTTATCTCACAGCTACTGCTTTTAAAAAATGTTTCTTCTACCGTCATTGATTAACGTGTCTTTTGCTTGGAAATGAGTTATTAGTCCGTTAATCAATACATATAACCAATAATTAACTCATCATTACAATTCGATTCAATTTCAACACGATCAATATCACTTATATCAGTTTATTCATAATAAATCAGCCAATTTTAACTCCCAACAAGAAAATTACATCCAAATCAACTATTCAGTACTTTATCATGTCAACAAGAAAGATAATTTTCGAGTGAAATTTCCTGTAGTTCTTACGTAAATCAAGCTCAAGACATTAATACATCAAACACAATGTGCATATTATTATTCAAAGATAGCACTCATTCAATTCTTACCTTAGTGACTTCATTCAGCATAACAAAGTTGCCTGTACCGATAAAAGTTCACCAGGTTATTCAAATCTCATCTCATTCAATATGAAGATTACTAACACACTCAATTAGGTAGATGACAGAAGAGCATTTGATACAAGATTATCGATATATAATCATCCAGAAATTATCAATTGCAGTTAAGAAATGTACAGTTAAAGCCATTCGCAAATCACAATTTCGGTTTCAAGAGACCTTCAGCCAAATGCTTGGCTGTAAAGAAAAATGCTACAAGGCGACATGATAAGCATCCTATGATATGCCAATGTGATCATGTTGGGACCACAGAATTATAATGCTCACCAAGCCCAAAAGCATGCTTATGATAAGAAAGCATAATACTCGAACTAGACGAGTCAGTAGCATAATCGGATTTATACTCCTTCCCCATCTCCACGTCTGGGAAGGACCCTGAAAATATCATAATATGCTTCTTCAGGCAGTGAGTCAAGGCACCAAGCTCTAGTTGTCCTCCCCATATTGCCGTGGACTCCACTTCTTTACAATAATTTTCAAACTTCTCAGCAAGTGATTCATCAGAATCACCTTCAATCAAATTCTCTGACAGGAAAAATGGAAGGAAATCAGTTGTATTCTTTCTCATGTATGCAGCTACCATCTCTCGAAGTTCTTGGTATGTATGAGGAGATTTACCCCCAGAGAGGAGGGCTAACTGATCCTCAACAGCTCTATAGAGGCAGTGCCCATCAGGCTTTATTTCACAAACAGTCAAGCCAAGAGGCTTCAACTTCCTTTCCAATTTCTCATTTTCAATCATACGATCACTTACAATGTCACTCTGCTCTGCTTGGATTCTTTGCTCCCTTTCTGCTTCATGTTGTGCTCTTTTGTCTCGCCTCTGTTTGGCCTTGCTGACCTTTTTATGTTCAGGTTCACTAGTAACAGATACTCCGGCTATGGCCTTCACCAAACTGTCCAAATTGTTCTTTTCACTTCCGTTACCACTGCTATAGCCTAACGCAGCCAGTTCTTGGGCATGTTTCTCTTTAAGCTTAGCAGAAAGTTGAGAAACCTCTTCCTCCACTTGCTTCTTCTTAGTTTTCTGCTCAGCCTTGCTACCTCTAGCTGCTGCCTTTTTCATTTCAACTTCCCTTTTCTGCAGTTGTGATATCTCTTTCCTGAAAATACACCAGTCATTGCAGAAGAATATGCACCGCATGAGAACCACAAGAACTTAAGAAGTAACACAAACCATAACAGTCAATTTTTTTTTTTTTTTTTGGTGATAATAACAGTCAATTTAAAATATTCAAAACATGAACCAATAATAAATAGAGATTTACGAAAAAGGAAAAAAAAAAAAAAACCAAGTATTGGAAAACAAAGGACATTTAAGTCATGTCATTATCAATTAGGCAGTCTAACATGCAAAACAAATGTAGCTTGCAGCAGTGAGACAAACAGTTGATTGAAATAGAATAGGGCTGTGCTGGTACACCAAGTATCTTACCAATTAATAAACCTTAAACAATACAATGCCTGATTTTATTAACTCCAAAGCTGTTGCAGGTGGAAAGTTGCAAAAGGTGTCAAGAAACCAAATGCAAAAGGTGTGCTAAGGCAGGGGTGGGAAACCCACATGAATGAATGAAGTGCTCCTTTTTATTTTATTTTATTTTTAAAAAAAAATAGAAAAAAACGTAGCAGAATAAGTTTGAGAACATTGATGTGATTCAAATCATATTTCAAACTATTTGAAAATCTAAAGGAAAAACCTAACTAGAACTCTTGATCGTCTTGTTTTTGTTGATATCTTATTCATTCATGTAAGAGAAAAATATGTAATTTACATAAATAATAAACTTTATTAGTTTATGCATGTATTGTTTAAGGAAGGTGACATGAATGGAAGTTTCCGCAAGTTCTGTGTGTATTTGATACAAACACAGTATAAAAAGAATGGGATAAACAATGACCATAAGAAATCTCAAAGCACATGCTCAGAAGAACAGAGACAAAGTACCACATTGAACTTCAAAAACCATGAAACACACGTTAAATGTTGTTACACAAACATTTTTATTGGTATTGTAGGGTTAAGGGTCAAGAAATATGCTGCGGAAGGTTTTGAAATGGAGGTTCCTTGCCTAGCAATCTCCTAGGTAGCAAATGGCCTAGATCTATGTAAGCACAGAGCCATTCTCCCACATCCCCTGAGCATCTAGATGGTTGTGGAGAAAACTGATATATATCAATTACCAGAAGGAACTATTGGCATTGAAATAAAAAAAGATCAGGAAGAAGCAAGACTGAATCCAAAATATATCAGATCAATTGAATGAATCCTTAACAAATGACATTTGGAATCCAAGATTACGTTCAATACATGGTTATCTAGGCCTCCATCTTCACTAATCTACTGAAACCACATTCTACCAGTTATTCTAATTGTGTTCCTGATATAATTGATTAAGCTATGGTGCTGTCTGATAATTACGAATGTACCATAAAACTCCTCTTATCTTGCTTAGCTTAACAGAAATAAACTAAAGGAATGACTTAATACACCAGATTTGAAAATGGATAAAGCCTATATGTGCATGAGTTGAGCCAAACTCTATAAGAACGTATGTAACACTGAATACGTTCTTAAAAACAGTGAGACCCAATGCTGATAATCTTATGGAGAGTGAATCACCTGTGTCGTGAAAGAATTTCATCACGAGTTTCTTGCTCCTTTTCAGGTGTTTCATCTGAAATCACTATTTCATGTGCCTTCTCCTCAATTTCTTGGGTATCCTCCATTGGAGCAACCCTAGAATAAAAAAATCAAAGAGAACATCTTACAACAATAAGAAATCAGAAACAAACTAATCATCGTAGTTATAAATAAAATAACGAGGATGAGGCCATTTAATGGTACCAACGAGATACTCAAAACACTATTGAATTATTAAGGTCTAATTATCCAAATATCTAACCCGTTAAAACATGACTCACATCACAGGAGAGTTCAATGTGAGTTACAAAGCCATTACAACAAGTTCCCAAAACTAGATGCCTAATCATTAATTAACAACTATTATTTGTGTATGTTCAAAGTAGATAACATAAGTTAGTATAGTGCTACAAGCAGCATACCGCAATCTTTGACATGTTTAAACATCAAAATTCCAATCCAATCTTGTTCAGTCACTAATTACAAGACTTCTGATTTTCAAGAATACAAACTTCATAGCACAAGAGGTTTGAGGAGCAGACATTAATCACAAACAAATCACAATTTGTAAATATGCAATCAGGGTTTGCAACTAGAAAAGTGGTGGCTATGCTTGGGGAACAAGTGTATTAGTGTATACATAGCTTGCATACACTAATAGGATGAGAAAGATGATCCATCCTTAAACAAATATAATTAATAAATTCACGGATTCATGCAGACCCATATCCAATTAAAAAATGAATCAGAATCAATTTCTAATAACAACCAAATTTTTTATAAAAAAAAATGGAAAATTGAAGTTTCATAATCAAAGGTAATAAAAAAAAAAAAAGAAGCTAAAATTAAATCATACAAGAGGATCTTCATCTGGAACATGACCTAGTTCGATTCCCCATGTCCGCCAGAACTAACTAACTTCTACACGTACACTACATAGTACAATCCAATAAATTTAAACCCAAAATTAAAAAAGTGTAAATACCAAGACCCACAGTACAAAGTTATTCTATATATCCAGATTGTGCAAAAGATTAAAACTATTATCAATTTTCGAAAAGGGTAGTTCATGGCTGCATATGCAAACATTTGGGGGTGCAGTAGGAGTTTGCTCACTGATATGAGAAAGAGAAAGAGCAAAAAATGGTGCATGGTAGGAGTTAAAAATAAGAGAAATAAAAAATCCGTTTGTTCTAACTTCAGAGTAGAAATGAATTGAAAGAGAAAGAGAAAGAGAAAGAGGTAGGAGGCGAGGGTGCTTACCTAGTACCTATGGCGGAGATGAAGATGTTAATGTTGTCGTGTCCCACAGTAACGCTAACGAAGCTACTAATGTATTCGATTTTAGCTTAAAGGCTTTGCCTGGACTTGGATTAGGGTCACCATGGCCCATACTTTAAGGGCTATCACCTAGGCCTCTCTCTCAGCTAATAGACCTGTTTAAGATCATTTCATTTCGCAAAATGAAAATTTGATTATCTTGAAAATAATTTCATTGTAACACCTTCTTTTTTTTTTTGAAAAAGTTCATAAACCATCTTATGATTTACTCTTTTATTCAATCAATGTTTGATATAATTTCCATTAGGGGTATTTGGTAAAGGATAATTTTTTTATACATAAAAATTACGATTACCATGAATATGTTAGGACAATAAATTTGTAAGAAACGTGAGAAAAAAGTTGTTAAGACAAAATATTACCAAATATGGAGGGTTTATGAACTTTTCCCTTTTTTATTTTATCAATTACATCCTACACCAAATCTTATGTTTTTAATACTTATAATTAAAAAAATTGATTACTTTTTTTTTTGGTTTACCTTTGGTTTTTATTTCAAATATAAATATGTTGAACAATGTTATTTAAATTTTCTCACTTTTTAACAATAGAAGAAACTTTTGTAATGTTACGATAAAAAATAGTAAAGAGATATTTGGCAGAAGGAAAAAATTTATAATCCTAAAAAACTGAGATTGAGAATTCGATTTTCCCATATTTGATATGAAAATTGTATATTTTTTTTTCAAAAAAGTCAGATTTACGAGATTCATGTTTATGAAAAAAAAATCACCTTTAAAATATCACTGATAGATGGTATTTTCATAATTCCATACGACGATAATATTTGACAATTTTTTTGATACATAATTAACCTCAATCTTCTTCTTCATCCTCTACAATTCACAAAACAATCTGCAACCAAAACACAAAAAAGAAACAAAATAAACCAAAGCACTGCAACCAACTAACTCCGTTTTGGATTCTTCTTCTTTCTTAACCTCATCCCTTTCTTCTTTTTCATTTTGGTAAGTTGAACCAAAACACATGAAGAAACAAAATAAAACAAAGCAATTTCTAATATGTCGCGTATTCATCAAGTCTACAGAAAATAAAACAGAGACCAGGAGGTAGGTAGCGCACCATGTTACCAATTTCATTTTCTTTTTTCTGTGAATTTTTTAATTTCGCTTCCCTGTCTTGTTCGTCAGAGATAATGGAGAAGCAAACCTCCTCATCAAAATAACAAACACTTATGGTGAAATTAGCTGAGGATTCTCTTGCCAGGATGCAAGATGAGTGAAATGGAGAACCTGTTTCTGAAGGGATCTGCATTTCTAATTTTTCTACACACATAATATCTTGTGGAGTCCACATTTTTTGAAAAAAAAAAAAAAAACTTACGGCACGCAAAACGAATTTCTATAATATTACAGAATCATTTTTCCTACAACATAACTCTAATAAAACCCATAAATGAAACATAACATTTAAAAAATTAATTTAATATTTTTAAGAATATTTTATCTTAACAAATAATTTTTTGATAATATTATTGTGAAACTCATTTTTTCAGATAATATTTTTTTCTCCTTTACCAAAACCCCTTGATAATATTTTTATAGTTTATTTGAGTTATTTTTCAAACATAACATTACATAAACTTGTTTACTAACGAATCAAAATCAAATAGATAAATATATTTCTTTTTTAAGAAGAAATTGAAAAATATATTTTAGAAGGGCCTAATAGTCCAAATATAATAAACCAACTTGATTACGTATATACATAACCGAGAAGCTACATAGATATATCATATATACGACCATGGAAAGAAATATATTTTTTTTGGATACAGAAATATATTTCAATATGCATGTGTATATGTATGTATGCATATGCGTGACATACACATTTTAATATTCATTATTATTATTATTATAAACGAGGCTACAAGTATACTGAAAAATACACATATTCTATTGCTATTTATTTATTTATTTATTATTACTACTATAAACTGGGCTAAAAGTGTGCTAGAAGTGAAAAAAAAATGATAACCAATTATGTTATTTGCATAAGTTTACCAAAAAAATAATACAAATTTTTTTTACATAATATGTGTGTGCATATTGCATGAATAAAACAAGGATAAAAAAAAAGGATCAAAAAAGAAAATGAAAATGTTATAATAAATTCTCTTATATGTTATTTAATATGATTATATCATGTGAAATGATTTTAATTATTTGTAGATAAATCAATGATAATATGAGATGAGATTAAAAAATATTTAAAGAAAGAATGACAAAACTATTAATAAAATTTATTTATAAATAATTAAAATTTTCTCACATAATAATATAAAAAAAAATCACTCCGAGGATTATCACTACCAAGAGAAGAACGAGCCTTGAAAATCTTTGAGTCAGCACAACTTCAAATCTACTTCAAGTTCTACCTGAAGTGCACTGCTACAATTCCGCTTCAACGACTCATGTAAATTCCAAGATAATATCCCACAATTCACTTTCTATAAGAGCCTTCCATATTGAGTAGTACAAATGGCATTTATTTTATTATTATTTTTATAAAAAATATGTTAGAATAGTGTATTCATATTAGTCTGCAATATTATTAACTAACAAGCTGTTATACACCTCATTATAGAAGGCTCAATAAATGGCAAAGAGGAAAATAAAGAAAGATTTCTAAAAAATTACTAATCCTGGTGGCGGATCAAATATTGGATCTCAAAATTCATCAAAGGTCCAAAACTTTATTATTTACGAGTAAATTTTATAAATAAAAGATATAATTTACACGTATATACAATGAACTCTATATTCTCTTAGTTGGTAGTGTGTATATATCCATGCCTTGGATTATATATTATTATTGGGTGTTATTTTTCTTCTGCAGCAGAAAATGAAACTTGTCTACAGCTCAAACAATTTAAGTGGGACCAACCTTTAAAATCAAAAAAAAAAAAAAAACTTTGCACATTTGTCCATGTGAGAGGCGCAGAAGAAAACACTTTTCTGTAACAGAAGATTATGATTACCCATCATTATTATTGTGTACAAATGTACAATGCTCAGCTATCATTTGTAAGCGTCTCTTACGTAAATCTTGTGAGAGTATAAATCCAATATAAAATTATCAATTACTAGTTAGATATTATCAACTACTAGTTAGATATCCCGATCCTCTCGGATCGAACACCGTGGATAAAAAATTAAAATTATATTTTTAAAAATAATTCATCAAAAATATTTACTGATAGAAGGTGGATCAAAACGCTATGGATAAAATATTAGACGTGGACAAAATATTTAAAACAGTATCTTACATGAACAAAATATCAGGCATGGACTGGTCACTCCAAAAAAAATAAGAATAAACATGTCACATGTGGACCAGTGTCTTTTATTATATGCTGCCATGTGGCAATACTCCCTTTTCTTCCTCCCCTTTCCCTCTCAAACTTGAAACCTCATATGCGCACCTCTGCTTCTTCTTCCAACCATTTCCTATTCCTCCACCTCTCCACATTTTACTAAATTTCTCTGTGTGCATAATTGCTCCTCTTCAAAGTTCCTATAAACTCTGTACACTTATATGGTTTTTTTTGTTTTTTTCCAAAAAATGAGCCAAATTATTATTTTTGTACACTAAGATGATAAGAAATTTGAAAAAGCACATGACATGGCATTGAAGGGCAAGAAGAGATCAAACAAATAAAGAGTGACATGAGATGAAATCTTTTAAAGAACATTTATGCTGAATTGGAGTTTGAAACAAATAAAATTATTTATGACTTGACATAAATGCTAATGAAAATATTATTAAAGAGTTAATGACTAACCCAATAAGTGAATTAAACACAATTTCTCAACTAATCTTAAGATTATGATTTTATCCACTTATATGGTCCTTCATTCTTAACCAATATAAGATTTCTCTTCACTTAAATTTTTAACATTTTTCCATAAGTATATAAGTATATGAGGCGCAAGAAGTATATGAGGCACAAAACAACATTATACTCTTCCTAAAGGAATTGCTTTGATACCGTGGTAAGTTATGGGATGAAGTCCAAAACAAGAAATATTTACAAATTACAATCAATAGATTAATGACAAATGATAATAAATATAGACTTGACATCACTTCTCAATCAAAAAACTTAAAGTTATGAGTTTATATTACCTTTGTCACTTGTCACATTCATAACCAATATACAAAACTTTCGCTCACACTTTAATTTTGACATCTCTTGTGAGATTAATGACAACTCGTTCTCGAGAAATTGCAGTTGAGTCTGTTCTCTTTGAAAATAGTGTTGCAAAGGTGTTCCAAGCTACCTTTGCTGTTTTCTGCTTTTCGCCTTCGTTATGTATTCCAACATCTTGTCCTCAATGGTTGCATTGACGGTGAGAATATCTTTCCCTCTGTTTAACCTTCAATCTGCATAATGCATCATCATCATTACTTGGAGGTTTTTGTGGTCTCACTATCACACCCACTATCTCTCACAAGTCATGACCTTGGAGATTAGAGGTAGGACTCCATGCACGTCACATGTTATAATTTTGGGCTTTGAATATCTTGATTCAACCTATTACTTGGACATCTGCTATATGTAATTTGAATTATAACTCGTAATGTATTTTATTTTAGATATTCCAATTGGTTCATCACTTTGCGACTAGTCCGATTTGGTGCGGGTCCCGAGAATAAGGCTTTAAACTCCTTCTAAAGACAGTACTAGAGAAGATCGAACATATGCTTTCATCCCTATTTATTCAATTCTCTAACACTAACTGAGCTACTATCATTTCGTTTAATATTTTTGACCATGGTGCTTCGGTCCCTGTGTCCCATGCTTCTCAGTGTACAAAAGCTTCTTAAAAAACAATGCTTCTTGAATTCTATAATGAGAGTCGATGGTGGCAATTAATATAATTTTGCAAGAAAAAAGAATACATGAATTGAATAACTCGGAACTTTTATATTTTGCATAACAAACAACTTCTTAAAACAATTAAAGAATATTTGATAACCAATTTGATCAGTTTCTTAGACTCACAAT